ATGCCTGGAAACTTTCCCAAATATACAAGGTCTGTTTTCTCTCACCCGCTTCCCTAACGATAATAGCACCCAGCAACCCCGGCCTCGACATCGTTCTCCAGAAACTCGGTGTTGAGTCTCCTTTTTCGTCGTCTCTCTCCTTCATACCCCTTTTCATCGTCCCATCGTCTAAGATCCTCCAGCTTGCCCATGACCACATGTCTGCGGTCGGCGACAGATTGACAGTTTGATAGATGGGGCCTGCGTCGTTTTGCAGGTATGTTATTATTTCCTGCCACGGTCTCGGTCTCCTTGCTTTGATTTGCCGCTGATATCTTTCTTTCCCAATCTATGCAGCTTTCCGCGCCACGCTGCGGATGTGCCCTCTCGAGGTCGGTCTTTGTTTCTTTTTTTATCTACACCCTTCTTATGCAGTGCAGATCTTCCCACTGCTCGACCCGGCACGTCGTAACATGCATCAACCCACCCATAGCCTGTTTGCGTTCACGCTTGGTATGTGTCCACATTACTGATTATATTACCCCGATACTCACACGCCTGTGCCAGTGTATGCTCACCCTTGCGCGCTACTCAGCGAGGCAGCTGCGGCTCGCTCGTTGCGATCTTCCTCGATGGCATCTTGTCCGATCCGGCCTCGCCGACGGACTCGAATAAGCCACTTTCGCTGGCGACTCTGCCTTGCTCGGAGATGGCGGTGCTGACACGTCAAGCGAGGGGTATATGGATCCGCGTTCCATGATCGTGACCTCCGACGAGGAGGACTAGTAGGTATGTGATTGATTGTCTGGCGATCCTTACTCCACACTGACACCCCGACAGCCCGCTCCCCCAATATTCCCCGCCTATACAAAAATCATCTCTCGACGCTGACTTCATTCTATACATACTATCTATATACACCCTGTGAAGTATGTACCCTATGAATATGATCTATTTGTGCTGAAATCCAGGGGGGAAATTGTAATGAATCGGCTGGCACGATAATGGTTACCATTCTGTGGCCTAAATTGGGACATATCTGGCAGCAGAATTGCGTATTGATCAATATTGGCGCCACAATTAATTCTGGCCCCGTAGAGGTAATTATGCTGCCAGAAATAATTCTGGCGGGATGGGACGTCTGGTGGGTCTGGCCCCAGATCAGCCAAAAGGATTCTGTTTTGCTGATGACAGCTCAGTACGATCAATTCAGATGGTGGTTTACTGCGCGACGCACCACGCCAGAGAATCGGACGTGGTGTACGGAGCACGGCCAGCAATCGTGGGGTTGACTATCCCAGTGTGCTCGAAGCTCGGGGTTCGACTCCCCGCGTCCGAATGGCATAGGTTAAAATGATATTTTTTGTGGCAGGCGGTGTCTAAATCATTCCCACTCGGGTCCAAACCATTCCGGATGATCCTTGTCCGCTGCCAGCATTGAGTTCCTCCTCACTGCGTACTGCAGTGAGTACCACTCCACTCTTCTTCCCCCCGGGTTCCACTGCTCGGCCCATTTAGCTCGTCATTGGGTTGTGGCTTGAATAGGCAACATAGGTTGCAAGGAGTAGGTCCGTGTGGATCAAATCCGCAGCAAACTGATAGGTTTAAATCTAGTTACCGAATGGCAGTTGACTGGCTCGCAAACTGCCCAGCGATCCAAGGGGTACCCGCCGGAAGATCCCGAGACACAGGGTCATAGGGTAGGTACCCTTCGAGAGACCTTATTTCACTTTTCGGAATTTGCTCAGACTGCTCTAAAAATGCTTTTTAAAGGGTTGAAAAAAATCTGGTTTTTTTGAAGGGGTCGGCAAGCTCAAAAAGGCGTCAAAACGAGGTTGGTCATTGTCGCGAAGAGCATCCAAGCTTCGACTGCACATCGACCCTGTGAGGCGTGCGGGTGTACAGGGACGCGGAGAGGAGGAAGATTGTGGGATTTGGTGTGTCTCCTTCACGTCTGACTTTCGACCAGTGAATTGGAAATGATGGGTTATTTTTGGGTCAGCTTCGAGCATGCTTGGACGCCCACGCGCACGCGCTGTTGCGGGTCGATCTTCTGCGCCGAGCACATCAGCACCCGGCTCCACGGCCCCACTGCTGACGGTCTCTGCCCCGCATGTCGCCCCGACTCGCCTGCATCCGCGTCCACCCCTGCGCTCTCCCCTTCCTCTTCCACATCCTCGTCCTCGTATACGTCCCTCTCTGCATCCTCCTCCTCCAGCTCGCCGAACGACGAAGATTACGCATTTCCAGCGGCCGCTTTACGCAGTGTCCTCGACCTCCAGTCCCTCCGAGCCCGTACATCTAACGAGAAATCGCCGTGGCATAATTCCGATCTCGATACGGATGAATCTGCCGACCCCGATACGAAGGAAACGCTAAGCAGCTTCCTCGAAACACGCAATATCCTGCTTGCTCTCGCGCGCGCGGCCGGGTGTGTGCTCGTTGTTGGCATCCTCGCGGGGCGCGGACACTGGGTGTAGATCTAGATGGCCCTCCCGGTTTTAATTCGCACCCATAACACCACGGCTTCTCTGCGTATCGTCGCGCTGCTGCGTGGTCCTTATCTAGTGGTCCAGATGCATCACTTCATCAGCTCGGCGGCAGGTTCTTCGTCCCACAAACTCCATCCGATGGGAAGCGGTCCTATCGCATCATCTGTACTTGAGTCACTGTACTTAATAATCAATCACTTGTGTACTTGTTCCTATCTCGCCTGTCTGGATCATATCTCCTGAATTTCACGACTTGACGCCCGAATCCATTATGATGCTGTGTCAATCCAGGACCATGTCCTCGTTACCTCTCCAGCTGCCGCTACGATCGATGTTCAACTGTCGGTAACATTTTTTCAGCCCATGGGTGCGAAGGTACACAGCCCGCCTTCTTCATTTCTGTCATTTTTCTCGTTCATCACCCAGGAATTTACTTACAGAATAATCGGACGTGGTGTATGGAGCACCGCCAGCCTTCTTGGTGCTGCACTAAATTGCTAACTGGCAGCTCGGGGTTCGACTCCCCGCGTCCGAATGCTGAGTTGGGTTCATAGATTCTTTTTGTTCCACTCCTCGGCTCGCTCTCTGATTTGCGGCACGATGGTATCGATGCAGATGTTCGTTTATTCCAAGCCTCACCAAGTCAATACATCTGGCGTGGTGTATGATACACAGCAGGCTCTTTCGACCATGAAAGCGTAAAACCACTCGCAGTTGGTTTGTTCCAGGACTGACCAAGTCATTACATCGGACGTGGTTAGTGTGGTTGGCAGAATTCTGCCAAACTGCCAAATGGCACGGCAGAATGGCAGGCAAAATGGTACAATCCAGGCAGGGTTGGCAGAATCCGGCAGAATGCAGTTGGTCCGGGCAATGGCCTGATGTCAAAATTCAGAGAAATCATACATAAACTCGTGCCTCAGGGATGTCTCATCATCCTGGGTCAGAAAACTCCCAGAAATTCCCTCCACTACCGCCAGCGAATTTTATCTTCCGTTGCCGTAGGTCACGTGAAAGAATGCGGTGGATGTTCGATTTGCTTGTTTCGCGTAAATTAATCAAATCGGTGGATGTGGAGGCCTCGGTGGATCCCTAGGGTTTTAAAAAGGTCGATTCATCCGCGATTTCAACTCTGGATTGTTGAATCTTACATGTGTTTGCCCGGCCCGTTAATTTACGAGTGACTATTGGCATGCCGCTTCCACTACCTACCTTGGCCGGTAACGTCGTAGAACTCAAAGAAATCTAGCAACACCAACCAGCATCTCCATAAATAAAAAATGAAATCGCTGATAAGCGTGAGGAGAGGATCAGTTATCGGTAGGAAGAGGATCAGTCTGGATCAGTTATCGGTAGGAAAATAATCAGTTTTGATGAATTGGACCGTGGGGCCCATGGGTGGGCTGAAGCACTGGCGAAGGAGATTATTGATGTTGTTCGTGGTGCCCAGTGGAGCTGGGGTATTGAGGATCTCATGTAAGGTAGCCGTATTACTAATATAAATTCTGCCATATTCTGCCATATTCTGCCGTCATTCTGCCCTGCCATTATGCCATTGTGCCTGGCAGATCAACCGAAAATCTATTCTGCCCCCACACTAGACGTGGTGTAGGGAACACCGCCAGCCTTCTTGATGCCACTCCATTCATTAACTGGCAGCTCGGGGTTCGACTCCCCGCGTCCGAATCCTTTGGTTTTATGGAATTCTTTTTGTTCCACTCCTCGGCGCGCTATCTGATTTGTGATCTCGATGCAGATGCTGGTTTATTCTAGGACTCACCAACTCAATACATCGGGCGTGGTGTATGGTACACAGCAGACTCTTTTGACCATAAGCACGTAACGCCACCCGCAGGTCGGGGCTCTATTCCCCGCGTCCGAATCCTGAGTTGGATTCATGGAATTCTTTTTGTTCCACTCTTCGGCTCTCTGATTTACGGCACGGGCGTATCGATGCAGATGCTGGTTTATTACAGGACTAACCAAGTCAATACATCGGACGTGGTGTACGGCACACAGCAGGCTCTTTTGACCATGAAAGCGTAAGGTCACTCGCAGTACGGGGTTCGACTCCCCGCGTCCGAACTCACCTCTTTCTCCATTCCATTTTTTTTACTCCGCTGTCGGGGTCCTTTTCTCTCTAGAAACGGCGAACAACTCTTAGTATCGGAGCATCCATCCACTTTCTCGCCATCTCTCCAAGATGGCGCTACAACCGATGTTCAACGTACTGTTAGTATTCTATCGACACCGAGGGAACAGTACACACACCTTGTGCTTCATTTTTTCTCGTTCATCGGTGGGGAATCAGCACAAAATAATCGGACATGGTGTATGGAACACTGCCAGCTTGTTTGACATGCAAACGTAGTGTTTACCTGGCAGTTCGAGGTTCGATTACCCGCGTCCGAATTGCTCACTTGATGGAATTCTTTTGTTCCGCTCCTCGGCCTGCTTTCTGATTTGCATTAGGAATTTACAGTCACGGCAGAGATGCTGATTTATTTCAGGACTCACCAAGTCAATACATCGGACGTGGTGTACGGCACACAACAGGCTCTTTTACCATGAAAACATAAGGCCACTCGCAGTACGGGGTTCGATTCCCCGCGTCCGAATGGTCGGTTAGTTCCTGACGTTTTTTACTCATTCTGCGAGTCTTATCTTGTATCGTTCTTCAGCGTTCTCCGACGTACAAAATTACGAATTCGTGGGAGCTGTAACTTTCGTCCAGCTGATTAATCAACGCTATGGTTAAATTACGACAGTACAAGACTTCTCTCTGGTGCATTCTAGCTCACTATGCGCATTTACAAGCATAATAATCGGACGTGGTGTATGGAACACAGGGGGGGGGCCTTTTACATCTCTTATTGTCATAAAATGTCACCCGCAGTCCGGGGTTCGACTCCCCGCGTCCGAATAGCGAATCTTGCCATAAGCTTTTCTTTCTCCTTCCAATTTTTTGCGATCGCTGCTTAATTCCTGACCCACAGCTCTGTTTTTATAGAAATCCTCATGGATGCTACGCAGTTCGGGGTTCGAATCCCCGCGTCCGAATGTCGAGTTTTCCAGTAATATTTTTTTTCTACATCCAAGTGGCTTAGGTGTTTCTTGATTTGCACTGGGAGTTTATAGGCATCGCGGTATGTCCATCAATGCAGGGGATGGTTTAATCGTGGACGCATCAGGCCAATAAATCGGGCATGGTGTACGGATAGTATGGCTTATTCCGTGATGGAGTGATGCCAACCACACTTCCGCTTTGCCACATCTGGCGTCGCCTCCACCTAAGTTGAGTGCGTCTAGCCTGGTATGTCGTGACTGGGTCCCGGCCAGTCGACACCGACTACACAGATCTCTCTTCATCCTTAGACGTGATATACCCTCATTTCTTGACCTCGTCGCCTCCTCAAAAAACACGTAAATGGATATGATCGAGACCATCGATTTTCGGTTTTGCGAATGTGGGCCGATCCTCACCGGCCACCCTGAATTCTCTCGCCTGGAAACCATCAGGTTATTCCACGATATCTTACCCAGTCCCATTCCTGGCATCACTTCAGTCGACCGAACGTATTTCCCATCGCTTGCCGTGCTCGCCAACTTCTTGTCGCGCTTTCCTTGCCTGAAGAATCTGAAGTTCGGGGGACTACTGGACTGTAATTCCTTAATTTAAACTTTCCCTTTGACGTCATTCCTAAGTAAGGACATGCTTGATCTCAGAATGGTTCGAATGGGACATTGAACACACACGCTTTGCAAGACTCGACGTCCAGTCGTGGATGGAAGAAGAAGATGGATTCAGAATGCCAGCATTATTGCTGGTTTGAATGCCGGTGCCCTTGGCGCGCCCCACGCACTGACCACTCGGGCACTGTATCCATTGATATCTGCACTTTCCGATTTTCTAACGCATCGCGTGCACTGGGTATGTATGTCCCGATGAAGCTTCAGGTGAAGCTATGTACACGGTTCAACTTACGTCACCCTTTCCAGATGGTGGGATCAGAAATTACTCCTTCTTCCTCCTGCCGACTGTCTCTCCCGACTGCCAACCATTTTTAACCGGATGCAAAATCCGCGGATCAACCCGGACACAATAGATCTGAGTCGCTCTTGTCGATGTCTCCTCCGGATCTTGTCTGGATCCACTATTCATCACTTCGCCTTGCGTCTGCCAAGGTCTGCGAGCGTCTCGGTCGTCCCGTTTTAAAGCCGTGCGACGAATCCGTGGCAACGAGTAGGAGCATTTGTTGTGGAGGACTTATTTCGGTGCGTAACGCGCTCGCTGCTGCATCTCGACACTCCAGTGATAATCGCCGTACAGCATACGTACATATCGAGGACCCCGTTCGGGAAAAATCTCGATTCGCGACCGTAGGTAACAATCAGGGCTGATCTTCAAAATGGAGACCGAAATCCAGGGTAAAAATGTCCGATGAGTAACGGAAAAGTGTGGTTATCCTCACTTCCTTACAGCCTTATGCATATAAGACGGCGGTGGTCGATCGACTAACAGCGTTGTTCTCCCCACTTATCCATTTCCCATTTCCTTCTTTCCACGTGCAATGCACTCCTCTTCCAACTTAATCCATCCTCTTCAACTCCACGGTCTCTCACAATGTTATTCGAACTCGCCCTTTTTCTCTTTGTTGCTGGCTTCGTCGGATCCACTATCGCAGCACCTCACGCTGTTATCATTGAAGGTATTTCTTTCAATTTCCAGTATATGACCCCCAGAGTTTACGATCGTTTTCGTTCAACTGTAGCATCGAAAATTGGCGGGCTGCGGGGAACTGCGTTGATTCGACCCAGTCGGCTGGCAGCCGGCATGAAGTCTGCCGCAAACGCTGCCAACTTCGACATCTTGTCAACCGAATGTCCATTACGTCTCATCATCATTAGACTAATCCACCCTCTTCTCAAATTGCTCTCCAATCGAGCGGAGTAAAATTACGACTGTAATAAACCAAATCATCAGACATAACCAACCAGGCTCTTTGTTCTGAATTTTAACCCGGCGGCTGATTCAGCTTTATATTCGTTGACAAATTGTATCTGGAACCACTGCGAAACAAAAAGCTACTACAGAAATCAATGACCGCTTATATCGAACCGCTTGTTGATATTTTCCTGCAAAGGATCTAAGTCAGAACCAATCCCGCGCACAAAAAAGATGCGGCTCACGATCTTCTGTGCCCGGAAAGCTCTCACATTTAAACCCACAGCAGAAATCTGCTTTTTCTCCCTCCTGAGCCACATGATATGCAGCCAGATCGCTCTGCAGGTCATCTCCACCACAGCACTCGCCTTGAGTAGGAGGGTGGTCTTGGTCACGGACGAATGTGAATGCAGCAACCAATTCGTCCACTCCTCGTCGTCGAGCATCCCAGTCTGGCGACGTACGTGGTAAATCTTCTTGCATAGATCTTGGTGCGGAAGTTTGGCTGCCTGCCATGCGTCCTTTTGGCACTACATATTTATAAGGAATTTGTCGTGAAACGAATGAATTGAACACACCTGTTTCCCACAATACCGCACGACCCGGCATCGACCACAGAGACGAGTGACAACCGATGCGGCGTCTGCGTCTGCTTGACAGTCCACGTTCATGCAGCGATGCGTGCGCTGAATCAATAGCATCTGATACCGCGCATGGAAATAGTCGTCGTTATAGAGCAACGGGTCCGCGATTTCCGCTTTGAGTGCACCAGGGAATCGTATCCGCTTGGTATCGAGCATTTGCGAAAACCATTCCAGCGCTGGACGCATGCTGGCTCCCCGCTCCACCAGAAGTGGTATCAGGGGCGCACCCAAATCGTACAGCTCCTCCACAAAATGCGGATATCGGGAAGCCATGTCGACATCGACCGCGGCCAGGTCTCTCATGAGTGTGTTGCACGAGAATATCACACGGGCGAAGTAGTCCCAGTGAGGTGGCGCGGGATGGACGTAGTGGGCGAGCGATCCGACGAGCTGACGTCGGATCACATGCACAACGGTGTAATTCTGCAGGACTTCGCGGGCGTAGGGCTCCCAGAATCGGGAAAGCATGCCGAGGAGAGCAAAGATAGCGTGGCCGAGGGGAGGGTGCGCAGCCCAGCGCAATAAAGCGGTTACGGCTTGGGTGGTAGTGCGATCTCCCAAGCCGATATCCGCGACAGAGTTTGGCCAGGGCTGACGCGCAGCTGCGCGCTGCGGCTTGCGCTTTCGGAATTTGGCGCGGGTGAGTTCCTCCAATTGTAGTAGGATGAAACCAGAGAGATGGGAAATGATCATGTCGAGGCACCTGAGTGGGTCGATCGGAACCACCTCTCCATCGTGCCTGGTTCCAGCCGTGAAACAGCGGCATGAGAGAAGTCGCTGTACGAGGGCAGTGAATTCTTCGTCCGTGTCTGGGCCGAGCAGAAAATGCATTATAACGCGGAGAAGTTCAGCAGAACAAGCGCCCTTTTCTTCTCGAATATCCATCAGAGCGCCCAGAATTTGGAAGGAGCAGCACGATTCATGATTCATGGGGTCACGAAGACCGCAAAGCACGATCTTCGACATGGGAGTTTGGAGAGGAAGGAAAGTGATCGGATTTAAAATGGCTTTGAAATTCGGAAGTGTTGGCATGGAAACATGGAAGAGTCAATCGGATCAATCGCCTCCTTCGTGTGGTAGTCGGGAGCGAATCTCTGTCAAGAAAGTCAAAAGCACGAAACTAGATTCAGAGAATTCACGGTTAGCTTGTAGGATTAAATTTGAAAAAATAGAGCGGCATTTTTAACTTTGTAATCTGTCGAAAATGTGACCTGAACCTCTCATGCGGAAGGACAAGGAAATGAATTCGAACTGCTGGCAGAAGCACGCCGACAAGTCAGATCAAACGCGTGGCAGGAATTGGAGTATGGGTGTAGTAGAAATCTAGAGACCTAAGACGAGAGGAATCGCCAGAACACTTGCCGTGTCCAAATAGAACTGCAACATTTCCAGACCGGTCGTGAAATGCGAACAAGGCGAAAAAAATGTGCGGAATTACGCTGAAAACTGTTGCGAACAATTGAATCTGGGACGCTAATCGTACGAGAGTCAGTGACAATGAAGACGGACACACTTTTCTTTTGCGGACATCTGGATGGATAGGAGGGAAAGGCAAATGAGCGCTGATTTGGTAGATCCTTTTCGGTTGGCGATGAAGGGCAGGTGAAACCATGTCCAACGAAACCTACGGTACCTCAGGAGGCAAAATTCAAGTGTGAAACTACACGAACAAGGTCGCAGTGAAACACTCCTTACCCACAATGAATTCCATGAGACCGGACCAGGAACGGGGCTCCTACAACGAGCATAAGATCTTAGTGCACGAAAGAGATAGAGGATAGTTGGCCAATAAATACCCGGGACCGCGGAAAGAGCGCATATCCAGAATCGTAACAAAGCCAGGAAATGGACAGTGAGCGGGTGTCTGAAAAAAGCCAGTTCACAGCGCAAATCGAGAATAGCCCGTTTGGATGACTCCAGCCTCAGATCATGGAAATATGACGCGCGCATTTAAAGCACACCTACGGACGGTGAGCCCTGTAATCACAGTCCGCGCAGACATCAGCCAGCCAAAAAATGGCTTTCTCAC